GAGAAGTCTGCAGCTGGTGGCAAGCACAATAAACCATGAGCCAAGGGCTTCTCTTCATCAGAGCCTCCCCTTTCCCCATGGGATCCCAAAGGAGACAGAATACTAACAAAGCCAGCAGGCTGTCTCATTCCACACTATTGCTCATTTGCAGCTATAATTGGTAGCTGAGGTTGCATTCTGTATACTGAAACTGTCATACATGAAGGAATATATTTGTTCATTGTGATACGGATATAAATCGGCCAGTTTTCAAATACAGAAAGACCAAACCAGATACTCAACAATAAAATTGTGGCAGAGAAGATACTGTTCAAAAAAACTGAATGTTTATTGTAGGGATGCAAAACCAAAGTTGTTAAAACTACATCTGCTACTTGCTTTTTAATATCTTGCTACTTAATTCAACTGATTAAACATTTACACATTCAAACCAACATTAAAAAGCACAAAAAATTCCTAGGTTTTGACAAGATGCATTATTCTCAACTGTCAAGGTTAAAGTGCTGTTGTTAATAATTGGGTTTCTTTGCATTTTCAGTATGATATCTTTAATGTTTGCTGTTTTGCATTCAAGAGGAAAAGGCAGAGAGGGGAAACTTGGTCTCCCGTATACGTGTGTATGGATCTCCCTCGTAAGAAAGTCCACCTGGGCATCTCTGGTGTCGCAGCTTCGTTGTGCTCTTGAAGTGATCTGATGAGGCAGAGTTTGCTGGCAGCTTCTGCCATCATCCCCTACTGTGGTGTGCCAGAAAGAGCCCCAGATGAGGCTGGGAAGGTTGGATGTGGAGTCCTGAGGGAGGGGACCTGGCCACCTCCTCTTGGACAGTGGTTTCCTCATCTAGAAAATGAGGGGCTTTGGGTACTTGAGGTTCAATTCACCTCCATGATTGTGTGAATCCATAGGAGAAAAGTGTCTCCCTGATCACCCAGCACTGATAACGAAGGTTCAGAAATGGACTTTTAGGAACAGTGTACGAGGTCCAAAGCAGAGAAGTTTTGAATCTTTGTTACACTTTCTGTAGTCAGTCTACGTCAGATTTGAATAGAGTCTTCCTGAAGCTGTCAGCCTGGAATGGGACTGGCGTTGTGGGGAGGAGGACCCAGCAGAGGCCCGTCTCACCCATTCAGTGTACCAAACCTTCCCTGGGCTCATAGCCCTACCCAGGTCCGTCTCTGGGGAGACTTGCCCCTTGATTAATTTACTTGTACATGACAATGGTTTATGCTGACCGCAATTTAGGCCAAGTTGTCTTTTCTTAAATTAGTTGTTTCTTGGTTTGTGGATTACTGCCCTTGTCATATGATGCCATTGCTGTTATTCCTTTAGCTCTAGCAGTAATTATGTATGCTGTATTTTGTGGATATATTTTATCTTTCTCTTGAAGTGGGCAGGTTTAAAATTCATAGTGATTCTGTACACCGAATATCAGTTCTACAGTCCCACCTCCTCCCCCCTCATATTTTAATAAATCCAAAATCAAGAAGTTGTCTTCCAATTATGGCATGTTTTATTGGCTGAGTGTTTTTCTTCCTAATGGTACATAAAATAATGGCGCATCCTGTAACTGATGGCCTCTTGGATGCAGGAAATGTATGGTATTGACTGTTCCACTCCTTCAGGCTCCCTAGTTGCTCAGGTTTTGTAAAATAAAACCACCAGTGTCGTGAGTGTGGTGTGCCATGACACTCTCCAGTCAATAGGCAAAAAACGGGAAGAGGATTTTTCCCTCAGGTGAGATAAACTGGCAAACATTGGCCAGGCTTTGGAACATTATACTGATGATTAAAATTTAACCCTCAGGGTGGGCTGGGGCTCAGTGGCAGAGCACTTGCCTGGCCTATGTGAGGCCTGGGTTCGACCCTTATCACCACTTAAAAATAAATAAATAAAGGTATTGTGTCTGTCTACAGCTAAACACACACACACTCACACACACACACACACACACACATATATATAACACTTTTTTTTTCTTTAAAGAGAGAGAGAGAATTTTTCAATATTTATTTTTTAGTTCTCGGCGGACACAACATCTTTGTTTGTATGTGGTGCTGAGGATCGAACCCAGGCCGCACGCATGGCAGGCGAGCGCGCTACCGCTTGAGCCACATCTCCAGCCCCATATAACACTTTTTTAAAAAAAAGTAATCATCAAAATATTTTAGTTACAATACAACCAACAGTAAGATTTTTCTATTTTTAAATGTTTTAAAATTCATTTTAAAAATGGGTTTCTTGCCTGTTTCATTTGGTTCCAATTCTGCCTATAATTCACTGTGCTCTCTGTGACAGTTCCATGTGCTTCCTGGGGTTTGGCTGTCTTGTTTGTTTGTTTTTGCGTCTCTCTGTTTCTTCCAACTGGCCTGACTCTCTAGGAGTCGGGGATGTGTTGGTTGGGCCTCCTCCTCTGAGCCCTTGGACTCTCCCTGACAGCATCCTGTGTGTGCCCCTCTGCGTGGAGCTCTTCAGTAGATAGGCTTTGATTGAGGGAAATGATGCCGAAAGTGATTATTTAATATGATGTTAATTTTTAATTTGGGGGGAAAAAGCAAGCCTGATTGAGGGTTTTAATTAAATTTAAACTTAATTTAATTATTCTGACCTAAAAGAAAAGTTGTTTTTTTTTTTATATTTACTTTATTTCACCACGTGATTGTTGCAGATTTTATGCCAGAATTTTTTCTGCAAAGATGTGGGATGTGACCATTAATGTGAATTTTTAAAGAAAACATTGTGCCGGTATCACCTAAAAGTCCTTTCTGCCTTAGTAGCAAGATCAGATGCATTTGTGCACTGGCAGCCGTGCTGTGCTGTATACAGGCAGACTTGTCCCTGTCAGCAGGGGACTTATTTCTCATGGCCAGTCAGGCGCAAGACCACCTGTACAACTGAATCTTCATCACAAGTGAAGTTTTGAGGGTGCAGTTCTCAGTTGGAATTTAAGGATCCCTACTTGCTGGCAGTAATATCGCTTTGCGCTGAGCCCAGGCTTACGAAGTAATTTCAGTTGCCCAACTCCTCATAGGCAGCTCCTCTCAGTGTGTTGTTGCTACGTCATGCTGGCTGACCTCATGCCCGTAGCTGTGCCACATGGCATGTTTTTACAGCCTTAAAAGTCGGTGTCACCAGCTAAGTTTGCTTGGTCAACATTTTTAGCCCATTGTGGGGCCTTTTTTGTAGCTTCTGGACAACCTTGAGCCAGGCTTCAAGTTCAAGGTCACATATTTACCCAATTATCTTTCTTTCAAGTTTTATTTTCTCCCTGACCCTCACATTTCTTTTTCTTTGTATAATTTATTTATAACTTTCTCCCTACAAATTAACATGCCATATCGCTTACTGAGTAGCGATTGAGTTTTGAATGGCAGCTTCTCAACATGTTTTCTTTGATTTGTAAAGGTTGGTATTAGATCTTTGTTCATGTCCAGGGCCTGCTTTGTGCTGAAGCTGCCCTCATCTCCCAGACAGTGGTTTTAGGTAGGGTATCCTGCCTGACTTGTCTGGACATGTTCCCCACAGTCAGTGGTCCCTTTACAAATGCTGCAAAAAAAAAAAAAAAAAAAAAACCAGGAAAGGAGACTCCCCACCCGTACACTTCCTCTCTCTGCAGTATGTTAAACTTACCTCTGACCTTATAACTTGCTGGGGATTGAACCCCCGGGTGCTTTACCACTGAGTCATTTCTCCAGCTGTTTTTTAAATTTTGAGACAGGGCCTTGCTAAGTTACTGAGTGTTGAGAGCCACAGCCAAAGTTGGAATGGCCCCTGGCATTTTGCCAATAGTATTGGTTGAGAGGCAGGATGATGCTGGATTGATTCAATTGTATATTAGACCTTTACTGTCCCCAGGATTGCCTGGGGAGTTCGCATTGGTTGGGGAAGTTCCGGGAGAGGGAGTTCCAGTTGGGGTGTGGTGTTCCTGGAGGAGCCGTGTGGGTAGCATTCGGGAGAGTTCCTGGGGAGCTTGTGTGGAGTGTGCTGGTGGAGTTCAGAAATAAACTTTGTTCCTGCTTGAGTGGCTTGTGATTTGTGCCCAGCCAGACTGCGGCAACTGAGGCTGGTCTTAAACTTGAGATCCTCCTGCCTTAGCCTCCTGAGTTGCTGGCATGATAGGCATGCATCACCCTACGCATGGCTACAGCTTGTTTATTTTTGGCACTTCACAAATAATTTTTTATTTCTATCCTTAGAGTATGTATATGTGCGTAATGACAAGAACTTTTATAAAGCAGATAGGTGAGAAAAGATTTACTCCTTTTATTTTCTCCATTCTGTCAGGAATAGGGGATTAAGGCAAATGAAATTTACATGCACTAGAACCTTGAATAAAGTCTAGAGTTTAGCGCCCTTCCTCTGTGGCGTGATATAGCTGTGGCAGTCCCATGACACCTGACCTTTACTGTCTTTGACAGTGAGAGGCTGACAGGAATGTAGTCCTTCTTCCTTGAGGAACCCAGATCTGTGCCTCCTACAGCTCTCTGAAAACAACCTCTTTGGAGAGGTTGACCAAGAACTGGAGCTATCCAGAGCAGACCTCACCATAGGAGAGATAGGGGGACGCTGTTGGTACTTCTGGTCTGTGTCACAGGGGACGTTCTCTCTGGACATTAGGAGTCCAGGACAGCCATCTGCAGGTGTTGTTGAAGATGAGGTGGTGTGTTTTATTTCTTGAATGTGATTACCTGTGTATCAAAATGCTGAGACTGTTGAAAAGTGTTGGCAGATTCGTTCTCAGATAGCTGTCTGGTAACCAGTCATGGTGGATTGCTGATCAGGACTTTTATTACTTGTTATTTTGTAGCCATGTTGCCTAAGATAAAAGTTTAAAGCAAAGAGAATAAACTGCAAACTTAATTGCATGCAGGAGTATTTTACTACTTGCGTGCAAAAGCACAGGAAGTTGAATGAGTTTTGGTAGCTGCAAAGAGGGCTGTTCTGGTAAGGTTAAAGGGTTTTTTCTGGTTTTCTTTTCAGCCTCTGATTCTGTTTTTCTTTACAGGACTATAAAACTGATGAAGACCCAGCATTATTCCAGTCAGTCAAGACCAAGAGAGGCCCTCTGGGACCCAACTGGAAGGTACTGGAGGCTGACCTTTCTGACAGGCAGAGTCTTGGCAACAGAGCACTTGACAGGTCCTGAGTCTTGGAAAGCTGGGGATGTTTAAGTGAAAAATAGAAATGGCACAAAAATTATTTTATTTGTGATAAGGACTTAGGACCAGTTGCAATTGGCCAGCAAGTCTGTGCTGCATTAACAAACAGAGCAGAGCCGGACTGTCACTTTCAGTATAATGCTATTCTGATAACTCTTAAAAGAGACAAGTGATTTAGTCTTTGGGGGCTGTAACGTTCTCTTTTGAGACTTGAAACAGTACAAAAATCCATGTTAAATGAAGGCTTATGGTTTAAGTTTAGTTTTAGTAAAAATTGAACAGGTTTGCTTCATCCAAGCTCATGTTCCTGCCCTTTGAATAGTTACATTTTTGGAAAGCAGGACTCGAGAGAGCACTTTTTGTGGCAAGTAGTTGTTTTTGGATAAAGGGGGCACCCTTACTGTCCTCATGGAAGTGAGACACAGTGGCCAGGTGGTGATTTGAATTGCCGTGGAAGCATAATGCACTCGAAAGCTCTGCACTCAACGAAATGACAGACCAAGCGTTGACGGCAAGTTATGACAGCTAATTTGACAGGAGAAGAAGAGCTGAAGGACCTGAACCTGCCCTGAGCAGATTTTCCACCCACAGGGTTGACTTGGTCACCAGGCTGTACACAGTGCCCCTGGTCCAGGGCATCTGTAAAGGGCGTCTAGGTGCTGGTTGTTGCTAATAGGGAGAGGATTATTCTGACACCCCCACCGATAACTCAGATAACTCATGGAGCGGTTCTCCATCAGTGTCAAGAGTGTTTTGTGGACCGTCTGGTGCATCAGCCAAAAGGAGGAATGAGTCTGACTTGGTTTACAAGAAATAACTCGTGGTTGATTTCATATTCGCGTTTGTCCTCTGGGCAGAGTTCAGTTCAGAATTCTCCCAGCTTAATGACCATGGCTGGAAATGCGAACCCCAGAGTGTGCTCTATGCCACTTACAAATTAAAGAGCCGACTCAGCGTGCATGATCTAAGTTCACTCTGGTGGATCTGCAGATTGTTCCCACCCTTTCCAGGCTTCTGCTCCAGGCCCCGGGCTCCCTCTGAACGGAGGAGCAGGCCCCCCAGTGGCTTCCCGAGGCCGCCTTCGCTGTGCTGGGGCGTCCTGCTCCAGCGCGTACTGACTTCAGCTGGTGCTGCTTCTGCAGAACATAGAGGAGCGTGAGTTGAGGCTTGGAGGGGAACTAAGTTCTGAATCTTCTTCAGAGTGTCAATGTTTCAGGTGTAGATTTTAAAAGGCGATGTTGCATGCCGAGGTGGGTTTAGCTCTTGGTTTCAGATTTTTCCTGTGGCAACTCCTAATTATATAACAGGTCACAGACGTATTGGATGCTGGGACTTTTACCTGACTGTTGACTTTTAAGAACTTAGAATATACGCATTGATTAACATTGCTTTGTCTTTCAATATTAATGATTATTTAAATTTTTGGAATAGGTTCGGTCTTTAGAAATAATATGATTTTAACCCTGGTGAATGATGACAGTTGAAGCATGCTATACTTCCTAAATAAGAGGAGGGATCAGGAAGACATACATGTAGCTATGGGAGGAAGGCAGAGGAAATCCTGTTCTGGACCCGAGGCACGGGGTTGTGAGTGCCGGGCGCTGGGTCTGCAGCCCTTCAGAAGGCCTGTGGGCCACCCCATCTGCGCGCTCAGCAGAAGTTTGCACCTTACCAGTCCACATTCCAAGGAGGATTCAAGGCCAGGAGTGAATCTTCAACCTCTGGTGGTGTTTTTGTTTTGTGGGGGCAGGTGATCGAACCTCGTGCCTCACACATGCTTGGCAGGCACCCCGCTACCGAACTACGTCCCAGCCCCTGTGATCTCAAAAAACTTTTCCTGTGTATTCCATGCTGGTGTTCCCTCTCAGTTTTGCAGTCTTTACTGCCTGTCTGCACTAGACTGGATAAAGGGAGAGGCATCCTTGGTGGGCACTCAGCAAGGTCACATTTAATCTTCACGACTTTCCTCTGGGGCAAGTACAGCTGCTTCATTTTACACATGAGGATGTGGCCAGAGAAACAGGAGTTGTAGAAGCAGCAGCATAATGTCACCTGATTCTGTGCTAGTCTTACGTGTGTAAGGTGTAGAGTTGCAGTAGAATCTCACTCTTAATCCAGTGGCCCCCAGATCACCAATCGCGTGCACCATCACCACCCCCAGCATGCTTTTGCGCCATGACAGTTGTGTGGCTCTGTGAATGCCTGGTATTTGTCAGAATTTCATGATTCTTACACCAGTGGTGCATTTCCCATGATCAGGGGATCTATAAGTGACAGGAGCACTAATGGAGATGAATTAAAAACACTAAATCTGTACAAGTTATGGCTTAAATAACTTAACCCTGAGAGAAAACCTTTGCAAGCTACTCTTCTGACAGCAGATTAATATCTAGAGAATATAAAGAACTCAAAAAAAAAACAAAAAAAAACCCAACACAAAAATAAGACAAATAAGTGGGCAAATGAGTTAAACAGACACTTCTCTAAATGCAAATGGCCAGCACATTCAACATCTTTAGCAATTAGGGAAATGCAAATCAAAACCACCCTGAGATTTCTTCTCACTCCAGTCTGAGTGGCAGCCATCAAGAATACAAATAATAACAAATGCTGGAGATGAGGTGGAGAAAGGGGGCACTGTTTCACTGTTGGTGGGACTGTCAATTAGTACAGCCGCTGTGGAAGTCAGCGTGGAGGCTCCTCAAAAGACCAGGGATGGAAACGCCATATGACCCAGCTATGCCACTCCTTGGTGTTTAGCCCAAAGGGTTAAAGTCACCGTGCTGTAGCGACACGTGTGTACCCGCGGTTACAACAAATCACAGTAGCCAACCTGTGGAACCAGCCTAGGTGCCCCTCAGCAGATGAATGGATGAAGAAAATGCATATATCCACAATGATGTTTTATTCAGCCATAATGAAAAATGAGATCGTGTCATTTGCAGGAAAATGGATGGAACTTGAGAACATGATGTTAGGGGAAATAAACCAAATTCAGAGTCAAGGGTCACGTGTTTTCTCATATGTGGAAGCTGGAGTGGAAAAAGGAAAAGAAAGGGGTGTGGGGTGAAAACTGAAGGGAGGTCAGGAGAGGAGAGGGGCTGGGACGGGAGGGGGGATGGTAAGGGGGTGCAGGAGAGTCTGAGTCCTGTTATGTTGTGTGCACGTGTGACTGTGTGACAGGTCACACCATCATCTGCAACCATGTTGTACCAATTTTTTAGTGGGGGAAAAATAACCTTTCATCTGAGCCTCGATTTCCACATCTCAAAAATGAGGCTCTTAGTCCCTCAGAAGGTTACTGTAAGGAGTGATAGAGCAGTGAGCAAGTTCCCTGCGCAGAGGATGCACACAGTGAACCTTGCCTCTTGTCATTGTCTTGCTTTTGTCTTTGAAAATAGACTGTTCCATCTTCATCATCTCTTGGAATGGGTGACGTCTGTAAATCTGACGTGGGTCTTGCTGGTCCCTGTCTGCTGCCTCAAGTTCCCTCGGTGGAGTATCTGGGGTTGCCAAACATGTTCCGGGTCGCCTGTCAGTCACCCTGTGCCTCTAGGCTCAGTGAGGGCTGGGTGTGGCTCAGGCACAGGGCAGAGGGTCTCCCAGTGGAGAGCTTCCCTGACCAGGAGAAGATTTTTGTATTTTCCACCTTTGTTAAGTGCACATTTAAAAAAAAACAAAAAAAAAAACAAAACTATGATATGATACAGTAGCTTTTGTTTTTTAAAACTACAGACCCAGAGATGCAGACCTTAGTTGCACATTCATTTTTCCCTCTGAAGAACAAATTTTTGAAATTCTGAGCACATGAATTTTATTTTGTTACTTAGGGTTCAACACTTGATGAGTGACCGTGCATAGTAATGGGAGAGCAACGTGTAACCTGATGGAAGTTTTTGCTTCAAGGCAGAATTGTGTGTTTCTGATGGATGTGAATGTCTTGCTTCTCCACAGCACCGTGTGTGTGTGTGTGTGTGTGTGTGTGTGTACATACACATGTACATGCTTCTGCTGCACCTTTCCAGGGCTTTGCTTATTGTGACAGTGACATGACTACCTATTTGGATGATTTATCAAAAATGTTTCATATGTGGATTCCTTTAGCTTTTCAGCTCACTGCCTCTGATCTGGGTGAGGAGTTGTCATCTGAACAAATTGAAATACTACCTTTGAAGATTATGGTGTCATCCTTATCCTATGGCATGGCCTCATTTCTTTCTTCATTTAAGCCAGCCATGAAGACTTAAGCTCCTGTGTCTACATATGTACAAAAGTTAATCATCAGGCCTCTAAAGGTCTTTGTAGGAGGCTTTGCTGAAGTGTCTGCCCCTTTGAGTGCTCAGCGTGTCTTGGGAGTCTCACTGAACATTGAAGGATGAGAGCAAGGGTCAACTAAGAAGTTGATCCAGAAATTATGGTGGCTGGGACATTCTCTTCCTGTGTGTGCTCTTTTTAATCATAAAGGCGTGTGCTGTCTGTCTTCGTTGTTCGCCTTAGTCTGAGACAGAGCTCCAACCGCTGGAGCGTGGCCTTTCGGCCTCCCGTTCTGTTTACCTGCTTAGTCACATTTCAGATTGTTTTAGAAAAGCAGTAGTGGCCATTCTGGACCCACCATAGCAGAGAAGGGCCGCCATTTTGTGGCAGAGATACAGAGGTTCCTCTCTCTCCCTGTCCTCCATCTGTGAGGAGGTGGTAGTAGCCTTGGTCACCAGTAGCCTAAGGTGAAGAGAATGCAGCCTAGGGAGAGAAGAAGAGAAAGCGGCCCTGAGCAAGGCGTTAACGCCCAGCTGTGGAAGTCGTCTTCCTGCTGTGACTGGCAGGAAAGAGACCAGAAACTGGTGGCTCCTGGGCAGTGTCCTCTTCTTGGTGGCCACCCTAGTAGGAAAGACTGATGGTGCGCTCATGTCTCAGAACAGGATGCCTG